ATACAATCATTGATATGATAATCATCATCATCACCAACATCATCTCCAGCATCATAATCATCACGACAACATAATCATCATCATAAACATCAACATCATCGTCATCAACACCAACAACATCATCGTCATATAAATAAATTAATATGAAACAGAAACGCTCTGCCAATACAGGTGAGAGCGAGTTTTGCTTACCTTTGAGGCAGGCATGGTAGTAGTAGTAATAGTAGTAGTAGCACTAGTAGTAGTTGTAGTAGTAGTAGTGGTAGTAGTGGTAGTAGTAGTGGTAGTGGTAACACCAACAGCAGCAGCAGTAATAGAAGTAGTAATAATATTAGCCTTGTTAAAATACGCTGTTTTATGGTGTTTGTGTATTGCTGTTTGATGAAAGACCGGCCTGAGAGAGCAGAAAATTTGTTGATACATTCGCATGTGGTGGCAGCAACTTTCACTTTCGTACTCACAGGCTTGGATTGGGCCTCCCCGGGGGGCCGGTGGCTGCCAGCCGCCAAAACGAAGTTGTATTTTTTAGTTTTAACAAAAATTACTTTAGATGCATGACTGCTTTGCATGTTCGAGCATCTACAAATTTCTCAAAACTTGCAACCACTAAACTAGACCAAAGAAATCTTAACATTGAAGTGCAGACTGTTTAGAAGGAAGAAAGAATTATAGCCAGCCAACGGCTTGAAAGTGCGAAAGATGACTTTCCTCTCAGTGTACACAAAGTGGTGTGGACCAAGTAATATTTAAAAGAGGTTCCCTACGCATAATAGATTTCACGCTGTGTTGTCCTGTTTAGATGCAACAAATTTTGCAGAAGTTTTGAAATAATGCCTAATGATGAACTGCAGCAGCTGAGGAGGTTGCGCAACAGGTTCATGATGTCGTAAAAAAATCACTTCAAACTCTATTTTTCAATTTTGCAAAAAAAAATAAAAAAATTTCAAAATCTCAAATATAAATTTATCATTAAAATGAAAGTTTTGAACTCAGTTTCAGACGACACTTAATAAATCTGAATAAGTAGAATTACTTGAAAATATGAGCACCATCCCATCAATTGAAAACAGCAACAATCACACATACAAGAAAAAGCAAACCTCTTAAGAAATGTGTTTGTTTTTTCGTTTTTCAAAAGTTCTATTTGCATAGTCATGCTTATTCAAATTTTGTGTCTGGCTTACAAATTTGTTTTGACATCATCCTCTACAAGCTGCGTGTGTGTGAAGTGGTTTTTAAGATTGAAATATATTTTTGAACAAATTAAGAAATCTGCATAGCTAGTTAATCAGCTTTACAATCATTCGTGCTGAAGTCTTTCAAGAAGGATCTTCTCTAAGAATCAATAACAATGAAATTACCGATGTTTCAGAAAAACGTTAGAAAGCTCTCTAGTTAAAAGTGAATAAAAATTTTAAATCTTGGTGTTCCTTGTGTTTAAATTGTTCGAGCAGGTAGGAGATAATTAGCCGTCCAGAGTTGTTTCGCTTAATGGTGCAATGAATAAAATCAATCTCACACTTCATTCAAGAAGTGTTTCCAAAGTTAACATTTCATTACCATGCGTGAAGTAATTATAGAAAGTAACGAAAACTGTATAAAAATTAAGTAAAATTGGAGTTGGGTAAGAAATTAAACAGTTGAAAGAATTTATAAGAAACAAATAATGACATTGGCCACTTCCCGGCGGGTTTCAAAAGCCAGTCCAACCCTGCCTACTCAGTTACTTAATTACTTAAATGAAAATGAACTTAAAAAAATTAAAATGACGCGAGCAGTGGAAAATGAGAGATTTTAGTGGTTATTGTTTCAACCAGTGGACTCACACATTGTCTAACTACTTAAATACTTTAATACCTAATTATCTAACTAATTTAATACTTTAATACCTAATTATCTAACTACTTTAATACTTTAATACCTAATTATCTAACTACTTACATACTTTAATACCTGATTATCTAACTACTTAATTGCCCAAGTACTTGAAACATAGCTTAGCAATCTCATCCTCATCATCTAGACCGTCGTCCTTATCAAAATCCTCACTTGCAGTGTCATCATTACATTCATCACCATTCTAAACATTAACATCATCGTCATCATCATAATCATCATCATCATCATAGCCATCATCATCATCATCACTATCATCTTCTCACCATCATCGTGTCGTCATCGTCATTATCATAATCATCATCCTCATCACCGTCACCATCGTCATCATCATCATCATCACCACCACCAACTTCCTGCGGAGGGACATCGAAGGAAACGGTCCTGAGGTCGACCCTGACAAATTGGTCTGTGCACGGAACGATGAAGAACAATCCTGATGATGATGATGATATTGATGATGATGATGATGGTGGTGGTGGTGATGATGATGAGGAAGAAAAGAAGAAAAATGGTGGAAGTGGTGGTGGTGGTGGTGAGGAAGAGGATGATGATGATAATGATGATGGTGGTAGTGGTGGTGGTGGTAAGGATGAGGAAGATTTAAAAAATATAACGACGACGATGATGATAATGATGATGATGATGTTGATGATGATGATGATGACGATGGTGACGGTGAAGATGATGGTGTTGATGTTGATGATCATGATAATGATGACGATGACGCTGATGATAACAACAATAAAAATTCTCACCAGGTCCTTTAGCGTCCGGCAAAGCTCGTCCAAGACGGAAGATGATTGCTCGCTCGTACTCCTGAACTATCTGATGATGATGATGATGATGATTTGATGATGATTTGATGATGTTGATGATGATGATATGATGATGATGATGATGACGGTGATGATGATGATGATGGTGGTGGTGGTTGTATGACGATGATGATGATGGTTGTGATGGTAGTGGTGATCTAATGTTGATATAATGATCGTGGGGAGGAGGATGATAAAAAGTCAAAAGGATCGTCATTCTTATGTTTACCACAAACATCATCCTCATTATCATCATTATCATCATCATCATTATCATCATTATCATCATCATCATTATCATCATCATCATTATCATCATCATCATCATCATCATCATCATCACAATCATCATCACTACATCCATCCTCATCATTATCACCATCATCACAATCATCACTACATTCATCATCATCATCACTGCTATCATCATCATCATCACCATCAATACATTCATCACCACCGTAACAACCACCAGCACCACCTACCTTGAGGCAGAGGCAGATGGAGAAAGGAAAGGTGAAGACGATGACGAGGAGGGACATGAGGTGGAGGAAGAAGACGCAGCACAACTGTACCGGCCCCGACTCCTCTGATTTCCTCAGTTCAGCTGAAATTATGCCATCATTATCAGCATCTATCAATCAATCTATCAATAGATTATTCATCTAGTCATTCATTCGTTTATTCAATCAATCAATAATTCATTCATTTTTTCATTCATTCATTTGTTCATTCATTCAATCAATTAACCAATCATTGATCAATCAGTCAGTCTGTCAGTTCATCAGTCAGTTAGCCAGCCAAAAAGCTAGTCAATAGACTTTAATTTCCATCGTGAACATTTCATATTTTTCCATTTTAGTTGTATTTATTATTTTGAAAATTTTGTTCGAGGAAACCAACTGCAGGAATTTGTTTTCTTTTTCCGGTCATTCCGATCACGTGCTCTTTCGATCAATTAAATTTATTTTATTGTATTCTTTTTGAATTGTTCAACAATTCCTTTAAAGTTCATCCGATTTAGTATCTGAGAGTGGAAGAATCTTTCTTCGAGACGACCTTCCACGTTGCAACGACGTTTAAAATCCTCTGCAGCACATGACGACTGAGAAGGATGGCTCCTGACTTGACGGCATGGCCTATCTTCTCGATGGGCAACAAGTTTGAAGTAACTGTGAAAAACAGGTGAAAAAAGTTTTCTTGCCAATTGTGACCAAAATTCATGCAAGTAGTTGCTTGTTTGGTTGAAATCGGTTGACGAGTCAAACAATGGTTGGACACATGTATGGTGTTTGGCAGGCCTCTTAACCAGTGTATGGATTGGCTTGGTCGTGGCTGGGTGGGTAGCTGTCCAGACAGGGTTTCTCATTCTATCCTACATCGTGGCTGGGTAGGTACTACTCATTCCATCCTACATCACGTTCGTTTTGAACATTTTTAGCTATGCAGAATTCGATCATGTTAAACCAATTCACGTTTGTTGCCAGTTTTTTGCACACGTGCTGAATATGTGACTTGATAATCAGTTTTGATTAACCAGAATCTTAAAAATTCAAATTAATCAATGAAACATTTGATCAACCGATTGATTAATTAATCAAAATCAATCAATCAATTGATTAATCGATCAATCGATCAATCATTTAATCGATCAATCATTTAATCGATCAATCAATCAATCAATCAATCAATCAATCAATCAATCAATCAATCAATCAATCAATCAATCAATCAATCAATCAATCAATCAATCAATCAATCAATCAATCAATCAATCAATCAATCAATCAATCAATCAATCAATCAATCAATCAATCAATCAATCAATCAATCAATCAATCAATCAATCAATCAATCAATCAATCAATCAATCAATCAATCAATCAATCAATCAATCAATCAATCAATCAATCAATCAATCAATCAATCAATCAATCAATCAATCAATCAATCAATCAATCAATTAATCAATTAATTAATCAATCAATCAATCAATCAATCAATCAATCAATCAATCAATCAATCAATCAATCAATTAATCAATTGATCAATCAATAATTAATCAATCAATCGATCGATCAATCAATCAATCAATCGATTTAACCAATTAAACAATTAACTAACCAACAAACTAACCAAATTAATTAATATAATTAATTA